ATATAAAAATATCTTTTATATAGTGTTAATGTTCCCTTAGGCCAGTAGTAGGTAAAGAATTGTTAGTTTTATGAGAAGAGCTCATGGGACTGTTGCCCACCATGAGCATTACCAGAGCAATGTGTTCCCTCAGTTATGTGATCGTCCCTTTTCACCGTGCCAGCCATGGTGGAGGCATGGTGGAAGGAACCTTTTTGTCTTCTGTGCTTGCTTTAGAAATTTTAAAGATAATGTTCCTTTGTTAAATTTAGAAACAGCCTTCAAGCCCCATCCAACATGGCTAAGAACTGTGTGGGAATTTGTTTTGAACTGAAAGCCTGAATATATTGTTTTGCCATAGTTTTCAATGAAATCTCTGCTCTTTAATTTCATTCTGACATTTCATCTGAAAATGTTGATGCTCATGAGAGGACTGGGGATTTTATAGTCTGAATTAAATGGCTTTAGCGGTTTTCAGTTATATTTCTTATTTGAGAGCACAGCTTAATTCTCTAGAATGTATTTGAGCATGCCTTGGGGATTGCCTGCTCAGCCTTGGGTTTGGGGTCCCTGGCATGTTTCTCCAGAAGCGGGTCTGAGGATACAGTAATGGCATGTAAGTGATAAAGACTCTGCCACTCTTCCTCTTTCAGAGAATTCGGTCGACAGTGGATGAAAAAGAACAGAAGCAGCTTCTGATGGACCTTGATGTAGTAATGCGAAGCAGTGACTGCCCGTATATTGTTCAGTTTTATGGCGCGCTCTTCAGAGAGGTGGGCACTCCAAACTTGCTTCATTCATAGCAGAGTTTGGTTTTTACCTTTTTTTTTTTTCTTTTTTTTTTTCAGTTTCCAATTTGCAATAAGGAGGAGAAAGTTAATGTATAGTAGGTTTCTCAGCTCTCCACTTTTAATCAACGGTATTTAACCAGGAGACCTAGATGTCTGGTGCTGCTGAGCACAAACATGCTATTCCCATTCATTGTTATGTCTCTCTGTGTATTTCAGTCTCTCCTTCTTTCCTGCTTTTCTTCTCTCTTGATGAGCTCCAGGTCTGTGGCTCCCCAATGCAGAGTGTGTGCTGCCAGGCTGGGCACAGCTCTGTGACACAGTGCTTGGACGCAAATGTGGTTTATGTCAGTGGTTGTGAGATGCGACCGTGTGTCCCTGTCATAAAGGTGGCTGCTGTGATAGTAGTCACAGCTCCCTGTAAGGTTATCTGATGTATGTATATATGTATCCAGGCTATGTCAGAGCCTGGATTGACATGCATCTGCCTTGAAGTGGTTTGTACCTGCAGATACAGGGCAACCATGCTGGGTCAGACCAGAACTCCTAGTGGGGTGTTCAGTCTCTGGCAATGGCTCACAGGATCTGCTCGCAGAGGCAGAAGTGTGTGATACTTCGCCATAGCCTTCAGTTGTATGCAGCTGAGTGTCTTCTGAGCAAGGTGTGCTGTCTTTGTGCTGAGTGATTCTTACTGGATTTCTTTTCCATGAAGGTGCTCAGTTTCCCCTTGAATGCATGTACATTTTTTGCATCCATGGTGCTTCCTGAGAGACACTTCCCTTGGTTGTCCACCCCTTGTTTGAGGGCCCATCATCTTGATTCATTTTGAATTTTCATCCTGCTGTTTTGAGTGATGGCCCTAGTGCTTCCCCTAGGTTTTGTATTTGAAGAGGCAGTAAACAGTTCATCTTTATCCATCCTCTCCAGGCTGTTGAGGATTTTATGGACAGTTGCCATATTCCCCCTCTGTCATGTCTTATCGAGCCTGATAAGTGCCAGCCTGTGTCATACACAGAACCCCTTCTAGACCTTTGATCATCTTTCTTGCTGTTCTTTGCATCTTTTCCAGTTCTACTCTGTCCTTTTGGGACAGAGACCAAAATTGCATGACTGTTCTTGAAAGGAGCAATATCTGCAATAGCTAGCCTAGGGGCTGTAATTTTGCTTGGCCCTTTTATGCACATAGATAGCATGTGCTGTGGAGTGCGTTATTCAACGTAGTGCTTCCGTGAGTGCTTCCAAGTTAAGAACAGAACTAGAGCATTGAAAGGTATGTCAGCTGACCACAGTTAATCCTGACATACTTCAGCTGTTCGTGGCCAGGAATATGATGTTAATCACTGCACATTTGTGACTGTTTTAGCATCTACTTATTGTAATTTAAGGTAGATATTATGCTGCAGGGGAACAGAAGGTATCCTTCAATCTCCTTGTGCTTTGCCCAGGCACTCCCATTGCTATCTAGCTTCGAATGACCAATAAAAACAGTTGGGAAGCTGACCTTCTCCATGCAGCCCAGACAGTCTTGTGCCATCGTTGGAGGCCGGTCATCAGCCTGAGCTGAGTCTGTTCAGTACAGGCACAAGAAGAGGAGTATAGCACTGGTGAGCAGCACGGGACTGCAAGCATTTGGTCCATTTGACAGAACAAGAGTTTTGGAGAAGATGAATGTCAAAACCTGAGTACTGCATCCTCTTCCTCCAGAGAGCAGCAGCTCCTGCAGCTCTCCTGCAGGTGTGGATTATTCCCCCTTCCTGTAGTTGCTCTCGTGTTGAAGCTGGCACAATGTAGGGGGATAGACTTGTAGCCTTGCCTGTTTTCCACTACTTCAGCACAAATCCAGTACACCTGTTCAAGGGATGAAGGAAAATAGAGACCTACTGGCCGCTAATCATCTTTGCATATTATCAGGCATAGCAGCCTGTGCAGAGTCTTTTGGGGCTTTACTGGGAAACTGTTAGAGAAAGAAAGTCAATGTTGTAGTTAAAGCCCCAAACTGTGACTGAATATTCAATTCCTGCTTCTAGAGAGTCTGCCTCTGTAATTTTGCCAGGTCACTCCTCTGGCTTTAAATCTCAGTCTTTAAAATAAGGATAATAATCCTTCCTTTTCCCATGCTCTGCTTTTTCTTACCTGTTTAAACATGAAGCCTTTTTGGGCCAGGAGGCGTTGTCCGTGTTGACACAGTACAAGCTCCTACCAAGTGTGGAGCCTCAGCCTTGGCTGAGTATTTCCAGCTTTGCTGAAATACAAATGATAAGGCTGTCGGCTGTTGTAAAGAGAAGTCTCTGGGTGAGACAGTATCTTGCCAGATGCTGATGAGCAACATGTTCAGAGATGTGCAAGCCTGTCACCTCTCTGCAGCTCTAGGCACATCCCAGGATGTAACTGTAAATACAGAAATAGTATAAAAACCTACCTTGTTCAGCACCCAGATGTCAGCCTGTCTTCTGCCGCACCCTTTGTCTTGTCAGAAAATCCTGTCCCTCTGCAGCCAGGCAGGGCTCCTTCTCCATCTGGGAAAGGTTTCAGTAAGGTCACTTTGGGTTACGTCGTGTTGGTCCCCGGGATCCCCTTTTCGCCCACCCTCAGCATCAGTAGTATTTGCTTCTGAGATGAAAGCAGCCTTCTCTTCTCCTCGGTCCCTTACTGCCAAGGTGATGTTCCAAGTCACATACCTCAAAGGTACACAGGGTGGGCTGGTATGCTTGGATAAGGTTTTCTGTCTTTTCATATTAATTACATGTTCTAATATTAATTACATCTTTTAAAGCTAGGAAACTATGACAGCAGAGAAGCACGGAAAGGGAAAAAAAGAATTTCACCAGTTTGTTTGAACATGTCTCACGCCCTTACTCTGCTTAGCAGATCTGTTCCCAAATGAACGATTCAGGTCACTGCTGCACCATCCCCTGGAGTATAAGAGCGCATGGGATGTTACCAAAGACTGAACCTCTCTCAGGAAGTCCTACAGCAAAACATGTATAAACAAAGCTATTCGTTCCAGCGTTTCAAGGTGAAAAGTAAGGAAATAAGTTCCAAAAGGCCTCTTGGAATGGCCTGCTCTGAGCCAGGATTCAGATTCTCCAGGGATGGATGGAGCTACAGATGGGAAATCATCTTCTGCCTGCTCCTAAAAGGTGAAAGACTTCAATTTGAGCCTCTTTAGAGGAGCTTAAACATTGAGTAGGCAGCTCTCACAATCAGAAGATTGACAAGAAACTTATAGCGGATTCAGGAACAACAGCAGGGCAGCTGGGCTGTTTTGAAAGGCAGGTAGCCTTTCTGGAAGAGTGAGCTGTTGGTATGGAGAACCAGAGCTAAGCTCTTGGATCCTGACAGTTTGGGGAGTGGTAGTACTAAACCAAATTGGACAAAACTGTTCAAGGTCTTATTTTGAAGACAGACTAGTTATCCCAGCTTGCAATTAGGAAAGGTAACTGTAAACAGACAGGTTACTGTGGCAGTGTCCATGAGTATGAAAAGTTTGATTTGGAAAGGCAAAAAATACTACACAAATATTTTCCCCTAGTTGTATTCTGTCTCACTTGTTCAGCAAGCATTTTCTGATAGGGAAAGTGTTCTCTGGGAACTGGACCTGCTTGTCCTTCAGTAGGCAGCATCTTAACACATATTATTTGCTTCTTGTTCTTTAATCATATGGGATGTCCTTCTGTTATGTATGTATGTGTATATAATGTAATGTGTAACAATGCAAAAACTACAAGTTGGTTGCCAGGTACGGGACTTTGCTTGAGTTTATTGGCACCCATTAGATGAGATTAAATTGCCTGTTTAATGAAACAGGAATAAAGCTGAAAAACTAGAAGACAGCATTTCAGCCTTTGCATGGAGTATGGGGCTTCATTGCACTGATGCCAGATACTTCATGTGCTGGAGTCAGGTCCTCCATGGGACAGCGCTCTGCTCACTCCTGCTCTCATTGATGAAGCTGTGACCTTCATGTCACAGTGTTGCACCTCCCCGTGATGTCACAGCATCCTTCATTCTGCTAGTGCAGCTGTTGAGTGGACTGCTCTATTACTTGGTTCTCTAAAGATCCTAGGTAGAAAAAAATCAACCTTTTTTTTTTTAATAACAGAAAAAATCCCTGAGCACTGACTTCGTAATGCCTGGCGTTGAAATAGTTTTCATGTCCATAGCCTGACTTCTTAACAGAAGAGAGAAGAAAGTTGCATCTAGTAAAGGCTGGAGAATGAAGAGAATCAGAAAGAGAAAGGCCTGGAGGAAAGTCCAGAAGGAGTAGTTATACCCCTGGCTATATTCCTGTTACTTTTCTTCTGAAGAGGTGAAGAGGAGAAAAGCCTTGTCTGACTTGGGATCTCAGCAGTGACTCCTACACAGTGCGAGTGTAACTGAGCCAAGTTTAAACCAACAAGCTCAATAGTTGATAAAATTATTCAATGAAAAATACATTGCCAGTTGCAAAACACGCCTGGGAAGCCAGGTAAATTAGCCCGTGGGGAGCTTCTGCTGGTACGAGAGAAGAGCTGGTAGGGATGTGTCAATAGCACAGTGTTGATGTTGGTGTGAATTGTGGACATGTCCTTGGTCAGTTGATACGAGGTGTTTGCTCTTTTTGCTGCTGATGCACAACACCTATTTCTATGGAAATCTTCGGCTGTGTTGGCATTGCTCAAGGCATCTGTCCCCATGATCAGTCCCCGGTCCATAGGAAGAGTGTCCTCTGTGTCACATAAGGGTATGTGAGCGTGATGACATTCTTCATTCTCTCTCAGTAGCGTAGATGCAACTTGCGTAAAAAGTTGGCCACTCCCTGCAGTACGCTAATGTATCAGTATCACAGAATGATGGATGTTGAAAGGGACCTCTGGCGGTCACCTTGTCAACTCCTGTGCTCAAGCAGGGCCATCTAGGGCCACTTGCCCAGGACCACGTCCAAATAGCTTTTGAGTATCTCCAGGGATGGAGACTCCACAGCCTCTTTGAGCAACCTGTGCCAGTGCTCAGTCGTGTGACACAGTGAAAAAGTGTTTCCTGATGTTCAGAGGGAACCTCCTGTGTTTCAGTTTGTGCCCATTGCCTCTTGTCTTTTCACTGAGCACTACTGAAAAGACCCTGGCTCTGTCCTCTATGTGCCCTCCCCTCAGGTATTTATATACATTGATGAGATCCCCCCCCGAGCCTTCTGTTCTCCAGACTGAACAGTCCCAGCTCTCTCAGCCTTTACTCATGGGACAAAGGCTCATGCTCTGGTCCCTTAGTCATCTTAGTGGCCCTTTGCTGAACTCTCTCCGGTATGTCCATGTCTCTCTTGTACTGGGGAAGCCAACTCTGAACACAGTGCACTCCAGGTGTGGCCTCACTGGTGCTGAATCGAGGGGAAGGATCACTTCCCTCGACCTGCTGGCAATGCTTTGCAGCCCAGGGTACCGTTCACCACCTTCGCAGCAAGGGCATGTTGTTAGCCTATGTTCCAGCTGGGTGGCATCTTTGTGATATTCTCAGTTGTCAGCTGGGAACTCAGGACACTGCATTCAGAAATTGAAGCATCCCGGTTGCTGGTTAAGCAGTTTTTGTGTATGTCCTGGAGACGGGCAGTGATATTTTGAATGAAATGTGTAGGGTGTTCCTTGACATTTTTTGGACCGCCTACAAGATGTGCATTAGCATCTGGTAATTTAATACCCAATAAGGACTAAAATATATTCTTTGGAAGAATAGCTCTAACTGGAAGAGAAAATTAAAATGCTTCGTTCGTCATTTTATAATCGGAAGTCAACCTGACCTAGGAGCATAAATTAAAGAGAAACTTTCATTAAGATGGTTTTGTCCTCACAATTCACAGTGAAGCAGAACTTCCACATGCACATCAGCACTTTTTTGTATTTGATCAGAAAGGGGGCTGGGTGACTGGTACCCAGTTGTCCCTGCCAGTATTCCTTTTTGTTCTCAGTAAAATTCATCAGCTTTGCCAATAGATAAGTCCTTTCAAGTCCCAGGAAGAGAGAAGAACCTGTAGAGTTCTTGCCACCAGCCTTAATGAAGCTGCATAATTGAAAAGGTGTGTCATCTTTTGTCATTGATCTTGCTGACTTGAATTCATGTTGATCATGTAGATTTTTATGTTACCAGAACAATAAATGCCCACATTCAGGATTTCTATATGGCATATACTTCAGGAGACCAAGTAAACCAAGTCTTTCCTGTGGTGCTTTTCATCATGTACAGGTTTTTTTATGGTTAAATTAATATTGGATAACAATTTATTGTACCTGTTTGAGTTTTCGGTAACACACACATCCCAACCCCGCAGACGCACAAAGTATATTGTGAAGCTTTTGTTATGATAATGGCTCTAATAAGGTTGCCTGTTGTTGCACTTCAGTTTGCTTTTGCTGTATGAACACCGGCTGTTGTAACCTGGGCGACTGAAGACATTCACAATATTGGTGCTATTGAACATAAATACAAGGCTGCAGGTGGTCAGTAATATTCTGGCGTTCTTGAACAAATCCAATCCCCTGCAGTCTCAGTACAATAACATGGGAATATAGTGCAGTACCAATTTTTTATATGAAGCTGGTCAAAACAGAAGCCATGTTTTGAATGATCCTGCAGCCAGTAGAACAAGTCCGTGTTTGCTTTCACTACAGATAGCTTGTACGGGTCTGGTATGGTTCCAGTTTCACTTGATTTATGCACATTACTAGCGCTGGATCCACATTGCTTTCTCTGAGCCACTCTCAATAATATGGAAGTGCCTCAGCTGCACTTTGCATTTATTGCCAGTGCTGAAAAGGGAAATTCTCTGCATGTGTTGCCTAATTTCATTTCTGCGGTTTAAATCTGAACAGGTCCTTAGCCAGATTCATCCATAGCCAGTCTTTCATTCTTTAGCAGCCTGAGCTCACCTTTCTCCATGCCTTCTGAAGTGCTGGTCATGTCCTCTTCCCACTGCGCTGCACTTGCCTCTTTCACTATGGTGTCTCTGCTTCTGTGTCTGGCACAGCACCTTTTTGATCAGTTCCTTCTGCTTTGTTTTGGGTGAAATGCATGTTTTCTGGGCTCAGCCTTGTAGCAGCCATTTCCCTTGGGTGAGTGACAATAGCTCCCGCTCTGTCTTGTGCTGATGGTAAAAAGCCTGGTGCCAAATGAACAGCGTAAAATGGGGCTGCCCATGGCTCTGAACCCACAGTTGTCTTCCCCACTGGCAGCTCAGCCCTTCCTAGAAAAGCAGATCTCCCCTTCTCAGAAGGGAGAGGCTCTTCCTATTATAACCAGCTGGTCAAAAGAGGTGATTATCCCGCTGTATTCAGTGTCGGAGCGGCCTCACCTTGAATACTGTCTGCAGTTCTGGGCCCCACAATTTAAGAGGGATGTTAAAGTCTGTGAATGCACCCAGGAGATGGCAACAAAGCTGGTGAAAGGGTTGGAAGGAATGTCCTATGAAGAGCGGCTGAGGACTTTGGGCTTGTCTAGTTTGGAGAAAAGGTGGTTGAGGGGCAACCTCACTGCTCTCTACAGCTTCCTGAGGAGGGGATGTGGAGAGGGAGGTGCTGATCTCTTCTCCCTGGGATCCAGTGGTAGGATGCGTGGGAATGGTTCAAAGCTGCACCAAGGGAGGTTTAGGCTGGATGTTAGGAAGCATTTCTTTACCGGGAGGGTGGTCAAACCCTGGAACAGGCTTCCTAGAGAGGTGGTTGATGCCCCAAGTCTGTCAGTGTTCAAGAGGCATTTGGACAATGCCCTTAACAACATGCTTTAACTTTTGGTCAGCCCTGAAGTGGTCAGGCTGTTGGACTAGATGATCATTGTAGGTCTTTTCCAACTGAAATAGTCTATTCTGTTCTATTCTTCTCGGAGGCAGCATCCCTCCTTTGACAGGAGACAGTGATGGATTCGCTGTCACTGAAGCAGCAGCATCTGTAATGCTGGTGGCACGTGGGACGGTTCCTGGCAGTTTGCTGTCTGTATTGCTGAAAACAGTCTTGCATGTGTATCAGCAGCCCAAGACCAAGCTGGGTGGCACCACTGCCTCTGCTGATACCAGTGTGCAGTGTTTGACAACACCTTTGCTGGGCACTTCTGTTCCCGCTAAACCAAGCATTTGAACTGGAGGCATCTTGGTGGATGCAGTTCTTTGGCTTGTGTTTCACAGGAGGTCATTCTGAGCGGCAGAAGAGCCCTTTTGGCCTTAAAACCTGTGGCTCTACAAGCTTTTCCATCATCTAAATACTCGAGAATTGCTCCTGACTCTAATGAGCACCGGGAGATTGCTTCAAACACAAGTGACTTGGGTGTGTGGGATGGGAGCATGGGGCTTTGCCACACCTCCAGCATGTCCATGCCCTAGGGTTTTTTCCTAATTTCATTTCCATATATTAACGGAGAGTTTGGTTGGTTTGTGTTTTGTCTGGTCAGGAAAAATCTACCTTCTGCAGGATATTACTTGGGGAAGTTTCTCCTCTATTTGTTGCTTCTTATATCATGGGAGTGTGCAGCTTAGTCATAACCAGACAGGCATCCTGTGCCCTGAACCACTCAGGCAGCCCAGGGCAGCACTACCTGTACAAGCTGCTGCTCCCTACACAACTGTTTTGGGTGGTATTTAGCTAGGATGAGACATCCAGACTAATCAACTCCGTTCTGCACTTAGCTTTTGACAGCTAATGCAGTTTTAACACTCATTGTGATACAGCCTGTAGAAGATAGGTGTAAGTATGTCATTTCTGGTGAGGACAGGTCTAGTCCTAGTGTTTTAGTATTTCTAGCAATGAAGAGTTGCCTGAAGTGCGTGAGAGTCTGCAGAAATAGCTCATGCAAAGCCTTCTGTCATTCTCAACTGGAGATAAAAAAAAATTGAAATAACTAAGATCAATCCATGGCTAACCTGTCCATCACCATATGGTAGATACATACTAAAACAAAAGATGAAGTCCTTCTAGATGTGGGGATCCATTTCTTGTCTCCAGCAAATCCATTGTGAGCAGGTCGATTTATAGATCTCAGGAGACATATTTGGATAAAAAGACATATTATTCTCCTGTAATAGTTAAGCTTAGCTTGGTTTAACACAGGTACTACGTTTTCCAATTTTCTGCATTTAGGTTGTTTAACTGTAAGATGTAAATCAACAAAACCCCCCACATACTTGGGTTTATTTTCATTTTCTCTTGCTTAGATGCTATCTCCGAATGTTGTGTGAAATATCTTCTGTCCTCTGCAGGGTTGTCATAAACTGAAAGGATTTTTTTTTTTTAGTATTACTGTGCATGCTCATGTCTCACTATGCCTGCAGCCTTCTGGAGAGCCAAACAGTTTTTGAGATGTGGATTCATCTAGGTTCAGGCATCTAAAATGTAATGTCAAATCTCAACTGGTCAGCTAGATTCCTCTGCTGGTGAATGAAGCGGAGGAGAGGTGTGTATAGGGGCGAGTCTTCCATTCCTAAAATTAATCAAGATCAATTCCATCCTTCCTGTCAAATGCATGTTGCTGTTAATGTATTTTATTGGATTCAAGGGATCTCTGTATGCTCTCTTGTTTTAGCTTGACAGTAACACAGATTCTTTTCTCTTTCCAGGGTGACTGTTGGATCTGTATGGAGCTCATGTCTACCTCGTTTGATAAGTTTTACAAATATGTATATAGTGTATTAGATGATGTTATTCCAGAAGAAATCCTAGGCAAAATCACTTTAGCTGTGAGTATTTTGTTAAACTTTTTTGTGTGTGTTTTTGAAGCCAATGTGAAAAATCCAGATCTCTTTCACTGACTTGTGAGAAAGCTGGTTGATCTGCGTGCAGCAGAACTGCTGCTGTTGTATTTCACCACGGTTTTAATGATCCCCGAGTATATTCTGACTTTCCCATAGCATATTGCATGAAGGAAAAGCAGGTCGTGGGGTCTGTAATCAGTTCATAAAGAGACTCCAGGACCAGCCTCCTGCTCCGTCTGCTTGAACATCGGCACTGACAGCATAGGCACGAGCCCCCTCCTCAGGGATTGCTTCTTATGCCCAGGTGGTGGCATCAGTGGAAGGCAGGCACAGGTCGTCTCATGCCAAGAAAGGTGCCTAAAATAGATGAACTGTCTCCCCTTCCCTTGTTTGTAAAGGGAACAAGGGATTGGGCATTTATAGCCAGGACATGTGAACCCCACCAGAGAGTAAGGGTCTGGTCTCAGTAAGTTGCCTACCCTCTCTCTCAAGTCAGTGGGGAGAGGTTGGTGCCTCTTGTACAGGAGCTGAGTTCCCATCTCATGGTGCCTTAGGTAGTGAAGTGAAGTGAGTTGAATCCCACCCAGGGTATCTGAGTGCAGCCCCGCTACACGGAGCCCACTGTCTCCCTTTAAGCAGCCCTGTAAAATTATCCTTGTCTGTGCCAAAATGAACCCTTAGTTGTCTAAACACAAGGGCAAGTTTTGGCCCTGCAAAACAAACTTTTGGTTTTGGGCTGTGGAGGAAGGGGTGTTGAAAGGTATCCTAAAACCTCTGTTCTGCTGCTGCCCGTAAAGATCTGTCAGGTGCATTGGCTTTCTGCAGGGGATGCTGGGCCATTCCAGTCCAGACAAACCTCTAGTAGCCTTGTGCAAAGGCTCCCAAAAGTACAAGTGCATCTTCAGCAGGTGGAGAACCTAGTTGATGTTTTCTTGCATTAATCTGGAAGTCCTGGCCGAGCCAAATGAATTAGTTGAGTGAGGCTGCTGGAAGATGAAAGGCTGTAGAAGTGAAGCACCATTCCGGAGTAACGGGGGGGAAATGTGAGTGAACACTAGAGTCGTGCCATGTTGATGACAGATGGGCAAACTGCCTCTGTATTGGCTTCAGCATGTGAATGCTGCAGTAAGCTGATGTCCTGAACTGTCAGAGTGATGGGGAGGTGCTCAGCAAGTCACAAACCGTGACCTCTTGAAAGGATATGGGCAAATTCTGTTCAGTGCCTGATCTTGGGAGAAAACCATCTTCATTCTTCTTAGGGTCGTCTTTATAAGATGTTGAGCCTACCTGGACATGCTGCCACTTCTTACAGCTAACAAACTGCCTTGACAGCTCAGGCACTGTCACGTATTTAGATATTTATAGCCAAGACTGAAAAGCCTATCAAAGGCAGCCAATAGCTGTTCTTCAGCCCATGGAATGCATCTTACCACCAACCAACTAAATGTATTACTGGCCAAAGCAAGGCTTGAGACGTAGACAAGAGATGGCTGGGTAAGGTCTGTCCTTCCAGGGTCGTCTGCTTGGAGTTATATGTAATTCCGTAGGGGAAAAGAAAAGGAGATCCTTTCTTCTAGGGTTTGCAGGGTATTAGAGACATGCTGGCCCACATTTTCGCTCAGACAGAATTTGCAAGGTGTTTGCCTGATGAAGATAGTTTGGACAGAGACTTGAGATGAGTTTTGAAGCTCTCAAAGGGAGTTTCTCTACTTAGCCTGCGCAGACAGTACACTGTGAAAGTGTACCAAAGCTTTAACTCCTAGCCAAGGAAATTACCACCTTGGATGTTTCAGACCTGGGGGTGAGGGATGGACTGAGTAAGCTGAAATTTTCCATACCTGATCCATGACCCACAACAGATCTGGGGATGTGAAGCCCAGCTGCGCTGTGCGAGAGGTCGTGGGCTGCTCATCGAACATCACTGCCTTTCCTTCACATTGCACCTGAAGGCAGCCCAGCCCCAGCAGCTCCTGAGGGAGGTCCTCTGCACAGACTGGCTTTAGGAACTGAGACTAGTTCTGACTAGGACTTGTGGTCTGAGGTTTGTTTCTGTCCACCTTTTTCTAGAAAACAAATGAGGAACAGCATTTAATAATTCTGTTATGAGAATACTTGAGGACCTCCAGGTCCAGAAGGTTTATGTGCGCACTGCCCTGGTAGTCCCGTCATGTGCAGCTAGGGTATGTGCTGCAGCTCACAGCTCGGTGTGCTCTGCCAACCACCCTTCATTTTGTATTAGAGCTCTTTTACTCCAGATTTGAAGAGCTGTGAGCTTCTGCTTCACCCTCTTGAGGGTGGGGGCAGAAGCTTCTGGCAGGGTCAGCTGGGTTTAAACCAACATTCAGTCACTAAGTCCAGCAAGCTTTCTCTTGCTGAAGCTCAGGTCCAAGGAGGCCATCCAGTATCATTCCACTATGGGCTTGCCTAAAAATCAGTTGATGCTTTGTTGTTCAGAGAGATGTGGTAGCTTCTGCTGCCGGAGCAGAAATCTGCATTGGTGCAACAAGGTGGGTGGTCAGGAGGAGCCAGCACTTCAGCTGCCCCAGAGCCTGCCAGAGCTTTTAATTACCTAAACACTTCAACACGGGGTTGTGTGAGCAGGAAGGACTAGTCTTTTGGCAGTTGTTCCTCAGTGCTAGACTTCATCCTTACAGTCGCACAGCTTCAGAGTGCTTTGCAGCACAACATGAACACCCTCTTGCCATCATTTTCAAGGCAGTCTTTTGGCCATTGGTTTCAATGATCTTTTCAGCAGAAGCGAAATTAATTAAAATGGTGAACTTCCAGGGTTTTTTAAAATCATCCTGTGAAATCAGGCTCTTTAAGTGTCTCTTCCATGGTGAATGGTTAAATCAGAACAGCCTCCTCTGCTGCTCCCCACACTGCTGCTGCTCAGCGAGTGGAATAGGAACAGTTGTTACCTACTCAAAAAGTACAGCATAGGGCTTGAAATAAGTTATTAGTCAAGATAATTAACATCAGAAGTTGCTTGACTTCACTTCTTGCTCCCCTCTCCCTGATTGTGATCTTTCCAGGTCTCTCTCTTACATCACCTTCTGTTTGCAGGAAAGATTGGGAGAAAAGTGCTTTTATTACATGGCGTATTACAGCATTGATATCTTAACATATTAAATGTGTTTTCCCCCTTCTTGGAGCTCCAAAAGTTTAATAATCACAAGAATCTTAGGATGTTTGCTTATTTTTCATCTGTTTTTCTTTCCTAGACTGTGAAAGCACTAAACCACTTAAAAGAAAACTTGAAAATCATTCACAGAGGTGAGTTCCTGAGTTTTCATCTTGCCTACAAAAATAATTGCAAGGATTTTAAGAGGCCTTTGCTTCAGGTCGAAGTGTAATCAGCATGTGTACTACCGCGAGCGTGAGTATAGGTTTTGCACAAGTGTGTCCCCAGTGCCCCTTCCATCTGTGGTTTTCCATAAAAGCATGATTTCAGGGTGGTTGGGTGTCTGTCTCTGCCTCTGGGCACATGGCATCTTTGGTGCTGGCTACATCTCCTGTTGCTTCTGGTCAGGATCCTCAGCAGCGGCGAGCACATCCAGTCGCCACCTGCCCGCCCCATGCCAAGGGGCGATGGTGCGGCACTGCCGGTGTTGATTTTCTGCAGCTGCTGTTCTTGAAATTGAAAGCTCCAGCTGTGACTTACCAGTTTAAATTTCTTTTCCTTGCAGACATCAAACCTTCCAATATTCTTCTGGACAGAAACGGAAATATTAAACTCTGTGACTTCGGCATTAGCGGACAGCTTGTGGACTCCATTGCCAAAACGCGGGATGCAGGGTGCCGGCCATACATGGCGGTGAGTGGGGATGAGCTGGGCAGCGGGGAGCTGGCGTGCCCGTGGGCTATGCGGGATCTTACCCTCCTTCTGCAGGCCTGGCTCAACATGGCCATGCTTGTCGTCTGACTGAAGTGTCAGCCTGTTTCCTTTGGGATGAGCACCCCCTTCCTAGATGAAACCAAGCTCTGGATTGAGCACCGCTGCTGGCAGCATCAGCAAAGGCATCCAGGCTGTGGCAAAGTGACGAAATTCCCCTTTTTTTTGCTGGGTTCCTCTGATGCTGCCAGCGCTGCGGCGCTGGAGCAGAGAGCTTCTCTGTGTCTTCCAGCAGCGCCCGCTCACACTCCAAAACAAACAGCGCACGGGGGGAGGGAGTGCTGTCTGGGTGTGGGGTTTTCTTGGTCTGCAAGAAATCTATTTGCTACGGTAAGATTATGTCACAGGAGTTATTGCAGAGCAGAATTATAGTGATTTTTGCAAACCACTTTAATTCCAAAGTGTGCTATAACTTAATTCCAGGAGAATGTGATTCTGGAGAGCAGTGGTAGCAGAGCAGCTGCGTGGAAATTGCGCGGGCTGAGCCGTGGCTCCTGGGAGTCTGTCCTGCTTGTTTGCTTCCCTCCCTCTCCCAGGGAGAAAAGCTGTGGTGGTGGTTTTTGAAGCTGTCTGAGGGTTTTAAACACTTCTGCGCGTTGGGCTGCTTTGAAAATGCATCTCTTGGTTTCACATAAGCTGAGGGTGCCTTGCAGAGGGAGCTATGTGTCTGCTGCTATCAATGTAACTTTAATTTCAGTGGCTGTGTTGAACTCTCATTACTTATCTTATGGCACTATATGCTGAAAAATAGTTTTCTTATCTACCACCAAGGAAAAAAAAAAGGAAAATCTCTCTCTTTTAAGGTACTGTGCCCATCTGGTCTAGGTAATGGCTCTCATATGGCTTTTATCTGACTGTGGTGTCCAAGGCAAAACCTGTCTGCTCCGATCCTGATCTGTGCAAGCACAGAGTCTGAGTTTCGGAGCATTTGACCTTTTCTGTTCACTGTACTCATAGCAGAGCTAGTTACTCAATGAGCTGGAAAGAAGAGTACAGATGAGATCTGTTATTGGAGACCAGTTCTGTGGTACAACAAAGTGTGTGCAAGCCTCCAAGCTACGTAACATAGTGAAATGGGGCAGAATGGGGCAGTTCGTTTAAATAAAGATCTTGTGAGGCTGGAGAGAGGGCAGAGGCATGTCTCCGCTCTGAGCGTTTTTGGCAAGTGCGTGGAGCTCCCTGCAGGGAAGAGGATCAGTCAGAGCTGCCCAATTTGTTGTGTTGGTGGGGCATGGGATGCTGAGGGCAGTAGCAAAGAGAGGTGCTCTAGGAGGACACGGGAGCCAGTGCAGTCTGAGCTAGTCTGACCCGAGGCTGGGTATTTGCATCTCAGACTGCAGGCACTTCTGATAGCATCGCTCTGTGGAGTTATGACTGTTGTTGACTTTTCCCTATCCTCTGAGGTGTGTATCGGGTCTGTAAATAGGGCTCTTGAAAAATTGCTCACTCCTTTCCCCCTCCCAAGTTCAGTGGGCTATAATTATAGGAACTAATGTTCCCACTTTTTCTTAAAACTGTGGGTAGATGGTTAGCTTTGTACAGGCTGTTGGTTTAGTTACAATATGACAGTTACTGGCATGTCTGTAAATAGCTGCGCTACTTCATTTCCCCTGGGACTTGAGTGGGTGGGTGCTTCCGATAGCCCCTTGTCTTTCTCCCTGTCTGTGCATACCCACTCTGCTCTTTGTGCATCTCCATCACCAGCTCCAGACTCTGTTGGATATTTAAGTGAGCAAAAGTGTTTCAATTCAGTTTGTGATTTTAAGAGCCTTGGCGTGGTACACGGTTTGTGGGACGAAGCCAGCAGCTGGCAAGCGGTGTGGGAGACAGCTGGCCTCTTCCCTTCTGCTCTCCGGACTCAGTGACTCCTCTCCAAGTACATGAGCATTTCCATGTACTGAGAAGCCTGGGAAATGGGGAGATGTCCCCAGCATGCAGGCACGTCTGCCAGCTCTTTCTCCAAGCCAGCAGAGGCTGGTGGCTGTAGTGATGCTGTGATCAAACCTGAATGTACCTGGGAGGGAATCAGACCGGTCAAACTCCTTTCAAAGGGAAAATACGGGGGTTTTTTCGTGCAAAATAGGCAACTATTTTTGGTACAAAATAATGTGACTATGTTCAGCCAGGGTGGGTCTGATAAGGGCTGCTGGATGATGCTACCTGATGATGAGAGCATGTTGCTCTGCAAGGCCCACTTGGCCCGTGGCACTTGCAGTAATTCTTGTAGCATGAGCACTTGCCCACCAAAGGAACCTGATAACACTGTGTTCACTGGAGCTGAGTCCCCAAATAGCCGTTGATAGCAATAACATTGGATGTCGGCCAGTTTCACTGCGAGCAGTCTGATTAGGCAGCAGGAGCCACGTCTAGCTGCTAAGCAAGCGCTGTGTGGTTTAACCAAAATTGTTAGAGCTGTCACAGAAAGCAGGGTATCAGCCTTGGAGCTGCCAGTGCTGGAGAAGTTGTTTTGCTTTTGGCTTTAATTCCCCTGCGATCCTTATATTGAAGTAAAGGCGTACATGTTGGTGCCTTGTGTTGTCTGAAAGAAAGAAAGGAAAAACAGAGCCCCTCACGCTGCCCCAGGCAGCAGCTTGCCCCCGGAGAGACCTGTGCCAGTGCCAGCATTGTGGGTTTGCTCTAGGTGAGGTTTCGCAACATGCTCACAGCAGCCTTAAACCAGCAGTGGGGGTGAGATTACTCCTGGCCAGCCCCTGGTCCTCCCCGCCTGCTGCTCCCCGACAATCCCTGTGTTGCCTCCCGCTGCGGTGGGTGCTGCTGGCTTGGGTGGGAGGGGAGGCTCTGTGTGCCAGCTGAAGCTGGTGGTCTTTGTGGCGTTACTGCCTTCTTAACGTTCAAGTGAACCCAGCTTCTGTGTCAGAGAGGAGGGATGAGACTGGAAGCTCCTGCTTTAGGTAGGGGAGGACCCAGCCAGCGTGAGGATGGATGTCCTGGCCTGCCCTGTTCCTTTGGGACCTCTCCAGGAGCAGAGTTTGATGGTGTCACATGTGTCCTTGGTCCCTCAGGTCCTTTTTGCTGCAAGCTACAGCTGTGCCCGAGTGCCAGTGCCCTGCACCGCTTCGCCCACCCTTCCCTGGGCTGCCTGCTCGGCTCTCCCTGTAGAGCTGTTGAGATGAGAGGGGTGGGCAAGTGGATTCATGGTGCCGGGCGGTACAAAGCAGCCTTCTTGGTGCTAATGCATGACCTGTGTCCCAGCAAACACAGTTCTCCTTGTCCCTGCCTGTGCAGGAATAGAGGGCCAGCGCAGAGTCTTGTTGCTGCTGTGCCACTGAATACCAGTGCTTGGTATGTGTTTCCTGCTCCCCATTTCTCCCCAGCGAAGATGGGCAGTCGCTGCTGGCATCGGCGTCCAGGGCCGGGTGGAGGCTGCGTCCCCATGCTCGGATGGCTCATGCACAGAAAAGGAAAAATTCCCAAGGCAGGTGACAGTGATGACTCTGAGCCCTGCTCCCGCCGCCTCCCTGCGCATGTAGAGGGAGAGGCTGCAGGGATGCAGGAGCTGTCTGAATCCTTTATCCAAGCAGAGCTGCAGCAAGAGCCTCTGTTTCAGCTTCACATTCCTGACCCGATGCCCAAGTTTTCCTCAGGCTCGGTCATTCATTTATCTGAACAGGCAGGCTGTTGGTTTGAATTCATGCAGCTAAAATCCTCTTGGGTGCTCCTGAATATTGCTGTGTGTTGGAATTTTTTTTTTTCTTTTTTTCCTCTGAAACTTTGCACCCAGCCATAATTTTTATGACTGAGAAAACAAATTTGGGAGGAGGCTAGGAGACATGTGGGACTGTCCCTCTGCGAGCAGGACTGAATCCAGGCACTGCTGCCCGCGGCATAGCGAATGCCGGGGGAGATGCCTGAGCTCTGAGTGCAGCCCGCCCTGCTCGTGTGTTGCTGCTGTCACCCACATGCTTCAGGGGTTTCGGCTGAGAACATAACTTCTACTTACTCATTCACCAGCTAAAATCGTCCATGAGGCTCATCCAGCGTGGGACTTCTCCTGTCCAAACTTAGCTCCTTACATCATGCAGCGCAGAGCCCATGCCGAGCGGCTCCGCTGCAGGGCTGAGCTCCTGTCTGTGCATCGGCACTTCCACCCCCTGTCGAGGACATGGTGGGAACGGATTTTCCTACTCTCCTGTTTAGACGCTAGTCTGCACAAGCAGTTTATATAAACCTGAGGAAACGTGTCAGCAGCAGTCTGTGTAAGCAGACCACTTGGCCAGAAGTATTGCGGACAGGACGTGAGTTTTGTGGAGGAGAATATTAAAAGGCGGAAAAAAGTCATTTTTGCCGCTAGGATTTATGTGGGAAGTGCCTAGAAGTCAGGTTTGGGAGATAGTTGCCCTCAGGAGATATTGGAGGTTCAGCTGGAAACAACAGGCAGCTCCTGCTTACCGTGGGTTTGCTCTGCATGGGGCACAGCTGACTGTGCTGGGGTGGCATAGAGTAGTCCTGCTGCCATGATTGGCTACAAGAAGGCTAATTGGAAGCCACAAATAGCAGAACGTGATCATCAGGGCAGTGAAGATGCAGTGAGGGATGGGCAAGGCTCCTTAGAGCAGGGTCAGGTGTAGGGAGAGGTAGCGAAGGGTTGTGCGGGTCCCGGGTCTGCAGGTGTGAGCCTCCTGTCTTCCCTGAGCCTGTTTGGCTCTTGCTGCTCGTGCGGGTGAGGGTGGGGGGATTCTGCTTCAGGAGGACCCACAGGGATTTCCAGTGGGAATCTCCACCCCTGTGCTGAGCCTTTTCCTGCCAAACGTGGGAGCTTCCTGCATGCCTGCCATGTGCTCGGCGCAGGCTGGGGGGCTGCTGGAGCTGCTCGGCAGCACCAGACTGCCCCGGCAGCTACCCTGGCACCATCATCTGCGTGCAACCAAGTCCGGCCTCCACCTCCTCCATCTGTTCCCTGC